AGGCTGTGAAATGAATAAGGGGTCCTAATAATGTGTGCATTTCAGATCTGCAGCTCTAAATTATACTTAAAAGGATGAAGGCCTAAAATTGTGGCATGGTTACCATATGCAGTACAGATTCATTTTGTGAGGAGTTAGTGTTACATTTTTCTCCTAATCTCATATGTTATAATTGAAGAAAAGTGGATCCTAATTGAAAGCTGATGATCCAGCAGAGTGATCAATAGCATGATGCTTTGGGACAAAGCCATTAAGCTTTTCTGCTGCCTGTATATTGTCAAAGCCTTTGTCTGTTTCATGACTTCAAGCTGAGTGTACTTAATCATTTTGAGAACAGGCCCTGAGCAACGAGCATGGCCCTTCCAGTGAATCACTGAGGATTGTGTTCAGCAGAGAGGTATTGAATAGAAACGTTCTCTTGGCTTACTCTCAGCCTTCATTCTCCCAGAAGCAAGAACTGAGCAGATCTCCCTTCTTTCAAACACGTTTTAGCTGATTGTGTCTATCATTTTTTTGTATTTAAGATCTGAGGTTGTTGTCAGTAGGTGTGACTTCTTGAAACTTTGACTCCAAAGGAAAATGTCTTTAAAGAGTAGTAGTTAGGTGTAAGCAGTGTGTAGTCTGTAAATTACCTGTTGTCAGAGAAAGAAAAGCAGTTAGTGGAAGCTGGAAACTACACGTCAGACGTTGGAGGAAAACTCATTCGTGAAACATTTCTTGTGCCAGGTGTCAGACTAGGCTCATGAGAAGACACAATTGGTGCCCTCAGGAAGCTGCCAGTCTAGTGGGGAAGACAGATATTTAATCTGAGATACACCAGTTTTTCTCAACCTCTGTTGCACTTTGGAATAAGTTGAGTTAAATATCGATGCCCGGCGATTCTGATTTAATTGGTCTGGGGTGTAGACTGGGCATCAGGATTTTTAGAAGCTCCCCAGGTAATTATAATTACATCAGGGTTGAATGTGGTGGGAACCTGTAGAGTGGGAAGCACAGGGTGCCCTGGGAACATAGAGGAGGGTCACTTAACCCAGTCTAGGCTGTGAAGGTCGGGGGTTGGAGAACATGTCCCAGAGAGGAGGACACACCTGAGCTGAGGTTTGATGAATGAGTTTGTCAAGTGAAAAAGCCTGGAAAGACCTTTCCTTAAAGAAGAGCAGCTGATTAACGTAGGCTAGTAAAGTGGTTAGTGCCTTTGGAGTTAGTTCCGTGCTGATTCTGCTGCTTGCTCAATTTGTCTTTGGCCAGTTTATCCTCTGTGAGCTTCAGCGTCCTCATCTCTAAACTGGGTGGTAATAGCACCTATAGTGTTATTGAAGACTAACTGAGATGATGCATGTGAAGTGCCTGGGATCATACCTGGCACCTAGGAAACAGTAAGCAGTGGTAGTAGTACGGTAATGGTATTATTATCAGAGAATTGGAGCATGCATGGTTTGTTGAGAGAGCTACAAGTAGTTCTGTATGGCTAGATCTTAGCGTGCAAGGTTGCAGGAATGAGGGTGGAAGGCAAAAAAAATCTGCTTGGCAGGTGGGCAGCATTCCAGATCATGGAGTGTATAGGAGAATAAGGCAATTAATAATGGGATATCATGGCAGAACCAGGACATTTCCATGGTAATATGTTAAGATATATCATGAGGTGTTCTGGGAAAACTTGGGTCCATATTGGAAAATTGGCTCTCAGTGTGGTATTCTCAGCATCATTATGTGTACCAAATTAGCAGTGAGTGTTAATAGGACAGAAATAGGATTTTCAGTTCCTTTAGCCAAGTAGTTAAAAATATTGAGCATCTTGAAGAGTAATGAAGGAATAAGCAGTCCCAAGGTGGTCTCAGAGATACTCTGGAAATTTTTGTGGTCTTACTTGTTTACAGGCTTACTGGAAATATTAGTGAAGGGTTGCTTGGTCATTTGCATGTAGAGGAGATACTTTTAAATTTATTTTTTGATTTGCAGAGAAGTAGAAAATGCTTCCATCTGCATTGGCTTCACTGGCCCTTAAAATAACTTATGTATATTTGTTGGTGTGTTATATAACTTGTCACAACATTAGTCACCACTTCTTCCATAAGGCAACATGTAAACGGTCATGGAGAAGCATGACTATAACTTATAATTATAGACCAATTTGTTCTTAGCATTTTAGTCAGTTTTTTTCTTTTCT